TGACTAGTGTAAGCACTACTCAGCAACAACTAAAACATCGGTGTGTTATCAACTTTGTTCTCGTCCTAAATCCAAAACACAGCACTGTACCAGCTACTAGGAAGGAAATTAACTCTACCCCAGCCGAAACCAGGACAGCTTCCTTAAGCATCCTGGGCCAGGCACTGGCAAAGATAAGATACGAGGCTAGATGGACAAGAATAAAAAAATGTTGAAGTGTTTTCAAGATAAACTATGAAATTAGCTGTGAGTCTGGATGTCTCTCTGTAGACAAGAAAGTACAGACAGTACCTGTGTTCTGACACTTCACATTTTCAAACTTCTCTCTGGCAGAGCTATAGTACAAGGAAACATAACAGTGGAAATCATACTCAGTGAAGATTTCAAAAGTCCTTGTAAATACATCCTTTTTAGTTCATTTTGGCAGTCCGAACAGTGATATATTTGTGGGACTAATAGCAACGAGAAACAATCATTCAGGTGTGGACAATGATCTGTCGTATCTAGTATCGTGTCTGCATCAGTTGCCACTAACACTTTCTGCTAAATAGTCACTTTCACTGAAGTTACAGGCTCATATGAGATGTTTTCATTTCTTGCTGTGGAAAGCTAGCCTATGGTTAGAATACGTACCTAATGTTTTCAAAATAAACTGCCAGAAGTATTTTTGGGGCAGTGCATATAATAAACTAGATTTTCAAGAGCGTCTGTATGAGATGGGAGGGTGACGACACAAGAAAAATGATTCTTGGTCCAGAAGGCACCTTGGATTTGACAACAAGCTTAGAAACCTCCACTAAATCTGCAGAAACTTCCAGGTTATTCTCTCTTCACCTGGATTTAGACAGCTGGTGACTAAAGGAAATGGAAGAGAAGTGTAGGCTGCTGATACTTATTCCTTAGCCTCATTGGTACTTAAAATACTCAGACCTAAACTCAAGTAGAAAGTGTCATTCCTTCATCTGGACAAACTGTATCAGGACTGGAGTTGTTTGGTGGAGCAACAACTGCCCCTTTTTTTTTGGCCTCTTCACCTGGATTTAGACAGCTGGTGACTAAAGGAAATGGAAGAGAAGTGTAGGCTGCTGATACTTATTCCTTAGCCTCATTGGTACTTAAAATACTCAGACCTAAACTCAAGTAGAAAGTGTCATTCCTTCATCTGGACAAACTGTATCAGGACTGGAGTTGTTTGGTGGAGCAACAACTGCCCCTTTTTTTTTTGGACTGCGCCCATCTTGAAGCAGTTCTGGTCTCCAAATGCGGCACCAGCACAAACAGCAACGCCCACAGTGTTTTGGGGCTCCACCACATCAGAATTTCGTAAGTGGCTGCCTTGGGGCTCTAAAAATCAGCTGATTAGCGTCCTAAGCCATCCCCTCTCCATCACATACTAGCACTAGCAGTTCCCACACAGAAACCACCTCCCAGCTTTGTATCACCTGCCGTCCCACGTAGTCACTGGCCTAGCTGTAGACACGACTGCCTTTGGAGGGAGTTTAAAACTGCCATTATACATTTGAGGATCACATGAAATCCATTCTAGCTGTAGAAACTTCTGTTGTTCTTATTAGCAGAATATTGTTCTCCCTTAGTTCTAACAGGTGTGAGTTGCAGCACAAACGGTTGCACTTTGGGCTCTGTATCTCTCTTGAATTCATCATTTGTCCTCTCATTCTAGCTAAAAATGCCAAGGCTCATGTAATTTAAAGTTATTGTCGTTCCCATCCAATTTCTTACACTACAAAGTTCTGTCTCTATATGGAAATTACTGAGAGACAATGCTTTTTCGGCCTATTATTTTGCAAGTATGATAATTCTGATTTATTCTTTTCATCCCCACTTGTCC